CATACCGAAAGTTGGAAGTTCTGGTACACTTTTATTATATCTATGACATTATTTATATCCATAAACTTTATTTGGTGAATAAGTAGCATAAATACTGCGTGTGTTAAGAATTTGATGCGGAGATTTATTAACCTCTAATGTAGAGCTTAGAATATTATTAAAAATTGTGTGCAAAATGTATTAATCTAATTAAGTAATTAAACCTACTAATTGAAGAAATTTTGAAACTTTAAAACTTTGTAATAGTCATATAGAAAATAAATTCAAAATGAATGTAATATTGTTACGAATCGCAAGCACCCTCTATTACCATGCTGTATGATTATATCTATCTATGATCAGTTGCTATACGCCGCTAGTTCTTTTACATATCATTATTTCGAAAAAGTTACTTCGTAAAAAGCATTTAGTATAAGTAACTGTGATTACTTTTGCTATAACGTGTTTACGTATAAATAAGAATAAGCCGTCGGATCATCGACCATGATAACATTTGTATAATCTAAACACTACATTTATTTTTCAAGTCAGTAACATGGCTTACTTGGGTAAAACTTTTACCATGCCATGCCGATATTGTTCATCAAATTATTGTTCTAATCTGGACTACTCTTCAACAATTTCACAATTGTTACATCGTACATGACAATGTAGAAAAAATATTGGAAGATCACTATTTCTCAGCAACTATTAAATGTCATTAAATCGCAATTACAAGTCATTAAATAAAGCCAAATAATGATACCCATCTGTCTATTACATGAAATACCAATAGTAAAATTAAGAACACTGTACGCCTTTATTCGACAATATCTTATTTAAAACGAGTTTATAATTTAGTTTCATTCTGTGCTCAATTAACCTTCTATATCTAATTTAAACCCTGAATACGCATCCCAATTAGCACTGACGTCAAAATTACATTTAGTGCCAATTGAATTTGTCATCAGCTGCTGAATTTTAATAAAGAAGTGCTGCTTGCTTTCTACGCTGAGTTACTGACTATCTCAATTAGCAAGGAAGGTATTAATGATAGATAAGTTATCTATGCTGTGCACATTTATCCTATGGTGTGTCCGGTGATGTAATTATGAATTATTATTTAATTAATGCTTTATTAAAATAAAATTGTAATAAATTGTTTTCATTTCGCTACCCCATAAGTGTTTTGTAATTGGATTGAATTCAATGTCAGCACAAGCGATGGATAGATAAGCTTTTAGCTGATTTAATTGAAAATTATGTTATCCAAGTTATAAATTTGTAGGTAGCTGTATATTTAAAAACGTTTACAACATAATTCATATTAATTCTGGGTTTTCTGACACTATTGCAAGCAAAGCGAATGCTATAACTTCTTTTAATGTTTTTATTTCAAATTTTCTAATAAAACTTTCCAACTTTTCGTTGGTCGTAAGACTGATAAGATAATCAAAACATAATATAATATCCGTAATTTGATATTATCTTAAAAATCGCTATATTCTCTCTTACAACAATCAATACTTTACTGTCTCAGGCTGAGATATGCCGTCAGACGTTTCTCTCCCAACTTAATTCGACACCCATACGGGCTATCTCCTAAGTTACGTATGTTATTACATACAAGTCAAAAATCGAGCTCGAGATAAATTGATTTGCAACACGGAACGACGGCAAAACTACAAATTATCACATATCTAACTTCGCGATAATTTCGTTATCAATCTTATTTCGATCCTCAAATTCGACATTGTTCTATCTCTAATAATGTGGATCATGGTTATGCTAAAGCAACAATGAAGACAGACCGAGTAGATGAAAAAAGAGTGAATTATTCCTAGAATAGGTAAATGATGGCAAATATACAACTAGTAACTTTTAATTAGATTGCTTAAAGGCTCATCGATCAGTCTCCAATAAAAATGATCTTGAAGTCAATCCCATAACGAAATAGCTGTAGTCTTGAGATGCTAAACAATATGCCATAATTTGATTTTATCAAAACATTACATTAATTGATAACTCAGAATTGTGTCGATGGGGGTGAATTATGTCAGAGGATGTCAGTCAACTAGCGAGATTTTCAAAACGGATTGCAATATTTTTATGACGTTTTTCAGGTAAATAACGCTAGAATAATATCATTTGCGATTAATTAATTAGTATTGCTAGTTCAAAGTGAATAATGATAGATTTACGATTGTCCTGAAAGTAAAATATCAAGTCTAAATATTCAATTAACAATAGCGGTATACTGGTACTTAAACATAAGTAAGTATGCGTATTAATTGATTAACCGACACAGTACTCATTGCGTTTATAGTATATCGTTTTAAGTGATACTAAAAGTGACAATGTTACAACTATAGCCTACAAAAGTAGAGGATTAGCTATGCGTACTGATCTAGTGTATTATAATCTAGTGATATTATGTTAACATTCTAGGCTACTAACACATAGCTATTAATAATTATTATCATGTTCCTTCAACTAGTAATATCGATATAAATATTGAATTAACATTCTAGGGTACCAACACATTGCTATTAGTAATTACTATCATGTTTCTTCAACTAGTAATATCGATGTAAATATTGAGTATATATATAACATATATATATGGGAGATATTTCTTGGCTAGAAAGTTAGTTAGAGCTTAGAATTAGATTCGTGTGTTGTATTATTTTCTTGTTTTAGACTAGCTTGCGCGAGCCTACAATATCTAAACTCTAATAAAGCAGACTTTTTCTTTACTCATTTAGTCTAACTTTATTGTGAGTTACAGCAGTAGAACAGAATAAGATATAATCGACGTTATTATACACATTGATACAATTAGGATTTCATATGTTATCAGAGCTGTTTACTAGAGTCGTTTTTGATCTTAGTATATTGTATATTTACGAAACAATAAATTGTTATAGTAAAACTTGAATACCCAGTTAAGTAATCTTTAGGCACTGATTTAAACAATAATTTCAACGCCATATTTATTAGTTAAACTACTTCCGCAAATATACAATCCTTAAATGGTGTAAACTTACCATAGCAAATAAGACATTTAATGAAAATTTAAATAGATTTGAAATCTAAATGTATCATTGCATGTGAAAATCGAGAGGTTGTAGTTAATCCTTCTATACTACAGGTCTTTCATATAGTGGTAGAAATATTTAGATTCCCGTGTCTTTGTATAACGTACTGACACTACATGCACTGTAAGATACCCTAGTATTATTGCAAATTTTACTAGTGAGATATTATCAATTACCTTTAACATTAGTGCTAAGGTCTTCCTGTTTATCAAAATGCCACTATTAACTAGAATTAATTTTTGTAGTATCACGCCTGAGTCGATACTATCATGGACTTTATAAATTAGATGGTTTTGCAACATTGTATAAGGGCAGCCAAAGAAAAAAGTGTAAGTTAATAAACCAACGGGTTTAAGACTGCTGAACAATTAAGAACCAGTCATTCTAAATATCACAAAATATCCTATTCAATATGGCGATACAGGAAGAGATGTCAGTCATTTCGATTTCTATCTTATAGCTTATCATTCTGAAGTTAGATATTAACAACATATATTTGGTTACTAAATTACTACGATAGTTTGTCTATACTATATAGTTTATGGGCTAAAGTACGTAAATCAAGATAACTGATTGTTCAAGTTAATTAACTTTTAATGAATTGAATGCGTAACATAATCAATTCCGTCGATTCTCAAGTATCTATCATCATGAATTTTCATATGTAGAGTGAATAAAATTTTTCTGTATACATTAACTCTGAATTAATTTTCTTTACAAGAGCGTAATGTTTGTCTTGCTTACTCCGCATTACTTGTGGTAAAACGAAATTCTAATTTCTTTGTCAGTGATTGTAGTGCATGAGTTCTTAACTTGATACATAACTGCATTGATTAGCTGAAATCACTACAGTGATTTTGTTGTTGATTATACTTCGCTTAACATCTTAGCTTTCGATAGTTACCGTTGCTGATTTTTTTCAATAAGTAAACGATAATTTATAAACGGTGACGATTAACGAATAATGTCTATTATTTACAGTAACACCACTCGAATGGCTACAGTATTGGCGTGTTCTAGTAGGAAGAAAATCTTTAAAAATGAGACCTATAGTACTTACCATAATATTATGATGTGGTCAGACATTTTACTCTACTTAATGTATTCGATATAGTGAATGGATTTATAATTCCTAAGTTTCACAACCAGCCAGTTCAAAAATTGAGTTATTAATACAGTGTAAATCCCTATTAGAACAAATACACCGTTTCATCATAGCAGCCATCATCTACAGATACTCTATTAAGTGCAGCAGACTTACTCTACAGTAAATCACATAGCGCTTTGCTTTATGTTACTATTTCCTTTTCAAAGCACATTACTATTTTTATTAATTGAAATTACTAGAAATAATATGAATAGTGAGTATTTGCACCCTATAGAAAATCCGTAATCTAATATAACTACTAATATTAATAAAATATATATAAGCAAACGTATTAGTTAATAAAAGTAAGAATAGCGATAACAGAGCCCGATTCAGTTGGGTACCCATGTAGAAATACATCACATAATATATTGGCGACAATGCTCGGCTAAGTGTGTATGGTCAGCTAGTATGAACGCATATCTGTACTATGCCAACTGCTTTAATTAAGCATATACAATATATTATGTTTATAATTGTGATACTTAATTATATTGTTTACGAATCACGTTGCATCTAATTATGTATTGTAGCTATAGTCTTTACAAACAATAATTTACTTTGTGGATAAGCAACATAATTCATGACAACCATTACAATCCCACTTTTTCTGTAAATCATTAAAAACACGGACGTCAAGTAAAAGTCGTTCTTCTATATTTTACTTTTCGCTATCAGTTAGTCTCGTCAACATTCTAACTCTTCGTTTATTACAAGATTAATAGTTGTATCGAGTACTCGCACTTCGATATCAAAGATTAACGTAAGTAATTATCATGGTCTCTTTCTCAGTAATTAACAGTCTGCTGTCTCGACGTGCGGTTAAATATTCCTCTTCAATCGTACTTCGACGCCCATATTGGTTATCGTCTAAATTATATTATTCTATACAAGTCGAAAATCGAGTTCAAGATAAGCTAGTATCGGTAAAGTGGGATGATGGTAAAATTACAGATTATCCTCATGTTTATCTTCGCGATAATTGTCGATGTCCGTCTTGTTTCGATCCTCAAGCGCAACAACGTATCATCTCGAATCCTATCTATCATAACTACGCTAATGCAACAGTAAAGACAGCTTGTATGAACGAGAATAAGGATAAATTACATCTAGAATGGATAAACGACGGCGAGCATACGTCTAGTGTGTTTGAATTAGATTGGTTAAAAGCTCATCGATTTACTGGGGATGACGAAAAGGATGTACATCCAATTAAAAGACAGTTATGGGGTAGCGAAATACAACACGACATACCGCAATTCGATTTTGATCGGATCTTAAATGATAAATCAGAATTGTATGGATGGCTACGATGTGTAATGGAAAGGGGTATTGCGTTAATAGTCGGCTTACCTAAAAGAGTCGGTCAAGTAGAGAAAGTTGCAGCAAAAATAGGTCATCTTCGCGAAACGGTTTATGGGTAGGAATGAATACAACTAGCGTTATCTATATAGTATAAAATTGACAAAAGAAGATTCTGTTTACTTCTATACGCTGTATTATTATAAAATTCGCATTTGCTGTGTTACAAATAGCATGCTATTTTTCATTTTAATGCTCAACACATTTTCGTAGTTCATAATATAGCTACCTACTTATACGTAATACGTAATACGTATGTATTTAATAAATTACTAAACCGTATCATTCTAATCTTTAGATACACCTTTCATAACCAAAGTAAAGGTGACCAAGCAACAACTCTTGCCTATAGAAGCGGGGGGCTAGCATTGCATACTGATTATACCTATTACGACAACATTCCTGGGGTAACCATAATTTATAAAGAATTCTTACTTTTTGCCTGCCTTGATAATACGAATGTGAATATTAGTTTCTCTACATTCTTTATCAATATTACGCTAGAATTATTCTTGAATCAATAAACTTATCTGTAAGAGACAGATTTGAGCAAGATTTATTAGAGTGGGTACAGTAGAAAATACACGAAAATTTAAAGGTATTTGTGTTTAAATCAAGTAATAGCGAAACTTGACCTAAGCGATATCACATTCCACGCCTATGTTAGAAAAAAAATTATTGATATTCGCATACAGGCATTATTTAGTGCCTTTGCAGAATTGATCTGACATCGTACTCTGTATATGTGATGGCGTCATAATGACTGATATTTTATTTACGCTTTCAAGATAAAATCACGTAAAAATCATGTAATAACTAATTAAGAATTGAACTACTAAGTGACTATACTCTTAATTAGAAAAGGAATTAATATCAGCTTCCTAACTTGTAAATCGACTTATAGCTTAGTTATTGATTAATTACTGATAGGTATATCGACTAACTTGTATCTTGCTAGCGTTAACTAGCTATTTATTGATTTGTATGAAATAGATATTCATGCTCCATTGTATAACAGCAGCTAATGAAGGAGGCGAGAGCCAATTTACGGATGGATTTAAAGGCTGTTGAGCAATTGAGGGCCAGCCATCCTAAATATTTTAAAACGTTGACAGAATTTTCTGTTCATCACAAAGATATTGGTACTGACTCTA